CAGTCTAAGTTTATCTCATTTCCTTCCTTTCAATTGTCCAGGGGGACTGTTTCCGGAGTAGGTAGCCACAGGCTCTGAATTCTCCAACACTTAAGACAGCCAACATTTTAATTCTGCTACACGACAACTGAGAGAGCTTGTTCCAGTTAAGTTAATGAAAATGACTTTTTTGGCGTCAGTAATGTTTTTATTATGTTTTGAGACAGCATTTGGCTTGAAGCAGGCTGGCACCTGTAGGCCTTTTTGTCGTGGAAGTGACTGCATAACTGTCAACCAGGACAGAGTGGATTTCAAAACAGCTGAGGAAGCATGCCAGCACAGCAATGGAGAACTTCTGACATTTCAGTCTGAGACTGATCAGGGTGTCTTTGACATTTTGAGTCAGGAACTGTTGGGAAACTTTTGGATTGGACTGCGTTTACCAGCTGAGGCCTGCAGCAACCTCTCGGCTCCACTGAGAGGTTATGAGTGGACGTCTGGAAACACGGACAGGAGCTTCATTCCCTCCTTCAGCGCCTGGAAAGACAGCGTTCAGCTCTGCTTTCCACACTGCGTATCACTTTCAAATGACCAGAAACTGACAGAGAGGCTGTGCTCGGACAAAACTGATGGGTTTCTGTGCAAAGCAAAGCACAAAGATGCATGCCAGGCACAAGAATTATTATCAGATCCAGTTGTTTTCCAAGACTCTAAAGGCTGTTTAACTGCTCCTTGTGAGCATACCTGCAAAGATGTACAGGGTGGTTACACATGCTCTTGTTTCAGTGGATACATCCCTGACAGCAAAGACCCCAGGCTGTGTAAAATGCACTGTGCACGGCAGAACTGTCCTGCGATATGTGAGAGAAACGATGACAGTACATGCTACTGTCCTGCAGGCTTTCTGTTAAATGGTAAATTATGTGAGGACATAAATGAATGTGAGATGGATGGATGTGATCATGAGTGTAAGAACACTTTTGGGAGTTTCGTGTGCTCCTGCCGAAAAGGATATGCACTTACAGATCAAGTCAAATGCATCAAAGCAATGGACAGTGGACATTTGGTCGTCACTACTCCTGTCTCTGCAGGATTTGTTAAACCAGCCGCCAACAACACAGTGAAGGGTTCCTCCGTGGCTGCAGGCAATTTCATCTGGATTTGGATCATGGTTGCTGTGGCTGTGGTAGCGTTTATAATTGCGATTAGGTTTTATGTCGTTAAGCGTCAGAGGAGCAGAGAACAAGATTCTGTTCAGCAGTCTACTGTGAGTGCTCCTGTGGACAATATCAAGTGTTAAATGATGAACACTGATGCCACTGACTCTTTACGTTTTGGGAGACTTGTGTATTCTGTGCTGCTTTAAGTCTTGAATATAGATAATACATGGTAAAAAAAAATATTTAGCAGTGAAGGTAATCTGTTAATATGAAATTCAGGGGCCATTTGTGGTAGTTATTTCAGAAGTCAATGGAGTGGGCCTCCCTTTTCTAGGTGCATAAATATGATAGAAGTAAAACAAAAAAGTATCTTTGACAAAATAGAAACCAATTACAAAATTATTTAGACAAAGTGTTTGCAAATACGACACCAGGACGCTGAACTGAAGCACTAACTGATGCCTCTGGAGATGGTTTAGTGCGGATTATAAAATGCGATCTTCAAATACAGATACACACAATTTGTTAATGTGTGATTAAAAACCCAACTATTAGCAATAATATTAGAAACACATGTTTTCATTGTTCCAGTAAGTTTTTGAATCATTCTTCCTTACAAAGCTGCTTCCGCTCTGCCCGATTCGTGGATGTCTCATGTAAACGACTCTGCTGACGTCACTCTGTTGGGAAAAGGTCAGAACTCGGTGTTCAGGGTCATTGTGCTGCTGCATCACTTCACCTATATGGTGACTCCACCCTGTAAGATGCTGTTATAAACACGGGTATTCGTTTTCTCTGCAATAATGGCGAAACATTATGGCCCAAGATGACAAAGCAGCTCCAAGTTATGATGCTGCCGCCGCCGTGCTTTACTGTTTACAGTTCGTGATCGTGTGCACCATAAATATTGTTGCGTATTCTTACCAAACAACTCAGCTTAACACATTTTCCCAGCGGTGTTGTGGAACGAGGTGCTTTTTGGCAAACTTGAGAAGCATTTTTGTTTTTTGTTGGGTTTTTTTTCTGCCATGGGAACCAGGCCTGTGTGATATTTTGCTTATAGTAGATTCATGAATGTAAACCTTGTTCAGTTATTTCCTTAACATCTTTTTTTTTTCTACCCTCAGTGAGCATTCTGTGTTTGGAGTCTCACTTCTTGTGCAGTGGCCACAGTAAGAGTCTCGGTGGCAAATAATCCGTTGTTCTCAGGCGTGGTTCACACCCCTGAGAACAGCAAACTCCATGTGTTTGAGTGTTTTTTGTAAGTAGCTGTAACCCAGGGTAGGTTACAACTGCTTCTACAAACAACCTTGCTTTATTAATCGGTCTTAAGGTTTGCTAACTCCTGGCTCCTGTTAGATTTTGTTAACATCAGTGGGTTTGGTGTACGTCTTTCCAGGCTACACTGTGGAATGCAGTACTCAGTGTGGGTGAGAACAACACAATTATTTGTGAGTGATTAGTTAGACTACATTGTACTTGTTTAAAATTGGAACTTAAATGGAAATCTGATCATGTTTTATGACAAACTTGTACATAAATGTCCCCAAAAAGTTTATTTCTTGTTTTTGTTGTTGTTGTTGTTTTGCCTCTGTTGAAAACTGAGAGTTTATTTTTGATAAACAGTTTAGTAGCTGAAAACATTTTTTTAATGAGCTTACATTATATTTTATAACCAAAATATTAATCTGCAAAGAAATCATTTAGTAAATCTGTTTGACAAATGTGCACTCTTTGGCCTAAAAGAGTATTTCCTTCTGAAATGGAGCTGAATATTGAGGTTCCTCAAGTTCCAACTTAGTAAATGTACTGTTCTTTTCAACACTGGCTTTTTGTTAAATAAACATTCATATTTGTGCTCATGTATTTAACTGTTTGTGAAGTTTTAAAGATAGAACTCATCTTCTCAGAGACACCACACGATGGACTCTTTTGTTGACGTCAACACACGGTTGTTTGATTCCAGCTCTTCTAGTGCCATCTACTGTCCGTATGAGCAAACTGCTGATGAGCTGTTAAACAATAGGCTCCCTGATCCCTTCATAGATCATTTGATTTTGAAAACTGTTCCTGTGTCAAACTGCTGTTAGATTTGTGTGTTACATTTGTTAGAGAGTAACTAAGTATGCTTGTTGAAGTAGTGTACATCTGAGGTACTTTACTTGAGTTTTTCCATAATATGCTACTTTATACTTTCACTCGTCTGCATTTCAGGGGGAAGTGCTGTACTTTTTACTCCACTACAGTTATTTGACAGCTTAAGTGACTAAAGCGTACTTTAGATTTCACACAGCATATAACACAACAAGCTTTTAAAACATAACTTAAAGCAGGGGTCTCAAACTCAACTTACTCGGGGGCCACTGGAGATAGAGCCTGGGTGAAGCTGGGCCACATCAAGTGTTTCACAAAAACAGGGTTTCAAGTATTCCAGAAAAAGTACAACTGATCCAATCTTCTCAATCTTTATTAATAACAATTCAGAACATGAAAGGTTCTTCAGAACATGGACTTCTCTTACCTGCTCCTTGCTGCCAGAGACCTGGAATCACTTCCTCTGACACAGCTGAGCCACATTTAGCTTGAGGCAGGAGGCAATTGAGACCCTCAGTATGGCTTGAAGATGCTCATCAGTAAGTTTGGACCTGTACTTTGACTTATTGAAGTTTATGGTGGAGAAAAGCTTTTCACACAGATAGAAAAATAGCAAAGAAACAAAAAAAACATTTATTTGCACTGGGTGACAGGATATTTTTACAACATTTTTCAGAATGTTGTAGTAAGACTGTTCCTCCTTTATTATCATGTAACATTGTAAGAATGTTTTTAAAATAACATTATGTAATCTGAGCCCCCTTGTAACATCCTTAAAACATTTTCTGAATGTTTCTTTGAGAATGTTGTTTTCCTTTAACATCATGAGAATGTTTAGTAGAAGAACATTCTACAATCATTAAAACAACAACATTCCCAAAACGTTCTCAGAATGCTGAAGGCAAATGTTCCACCTTAGAAAAAAAACATTGTGTAATCTGAGGCGTCAATAACATCCTGAAAAAAAAATCTAAATGTGGTTTTAAGAATGTTCCTCCTTTATTATCATATAACATTGTAAGAATGTTTTTAAAAATAATAATGTAGTCTGAGGCATAATATTCTGAAACATTTTCAGAATGTTTCTTGGAGAATGTCCTTCCTTTGTTATCATGTAACATTGTGGTAACGTTTTATGGAGGAACATTCTATGATCGCTTATCTCAACAACATGCCCAAAACATCTTTAGAACGTTGCACCTAAAACATTTTTCTTAACATATAACAATACATGAACATTTTTTGAAATATTAAATGTTATTCTAGTATTCTTTGAACATTACATTAAAATGTTTTTTTGTTTGTTTTTTTAACTTTAAGAGAACCTATAGGGAATGTTTGTCAATGTTGTGGGAACATTCGCTGCTAGCTGGGTTGCTCCATGCTGTACTCTGAGGTTATCGTTTTGACCTCTTTCTTTTTGTGGACTTCTTCCCCTACATGCAAAACAGTGTCAATACCACTTGTGACCTGTTGCAGCAGGAGGAAACTGACCAGATGATTAGATTTTACATCCCATCCTTTCACCAGCCTGTCAACCACCAGCAACAAATTACTACCTGTTCAGAATTACATACAGCAGCGCAGCCGTTCATTACGGCTCCAAAATCAAAGTCTGATTATTAATAGAGCACTTTGTCCTTATCTTTACCGCTGTGACTTAATTGGATTACACACAAGTTATCAGTAGTGAAATGAGCCATAAAATCCCACTTCTAAACTCCCACTGATCTATTCAAGCAGCGGCACGAACTTTGATCATAACTAAACGCCGTCTCTTATCTTGTTCAGTGCTTTGGTCCTAATAAATATCTATTTCCTGTTCTCTCCCAGAAGAGCAACACACAAGATAAGACTGCTGTTAAACAGGAAGACTTTAATAAGTGACAGATCTCCCCGTCTGTGCGTGAACAAACACCAAAGAAAACATGTGGATGAAGATCAGTGGGTACGCTTTAGAACGAGGACATGATTTGTTGTGTTTGTAGTGAACAATAAACTAAAATGCAAATTAAGTTCTTATGTCATGATTTCTTTTTTGAGGACGACGTGCCAAGGCCTGTAATGTGGCCGTCTGCACCTTGGTTCAGGTCAGTTGGACAACTTCTTGCAAAAACAAGCATGAAAGCTGTTCTGTGGCACCAGCTATGCAGTATAATTATAGCTGCACATCGATAGGCAACTATGAAGTATGTGTATGTGTGGTGTGTGTGTATTTTTTTTAATGTTTTTTTTTTTTGTTTGTCTGTTAACGATCTAGAACTTTACAGGAGAGGCGTTTGAGCCTGAAACTTCGTATGACTTTGATGTGGTCTCTTCTCAGAGTGTTTAGATTTTGGGGTCAATACATGCATTGGTGACGCTACAGAGGTCAAAGGTCGCATTTCCCAAAAAATCTCTGCATGACTGAAAATGCACAAAAAGACATACGTTTAGTCTACTAACTTAGGAAGATATCCGAAGCCTATAAACAGGTGATGTAACATATGACCTTGAGACAAAGGTCAAGGTTACACTGAAGGTCTTACATCACAATTTTTAAATCCATTATAATTTGGAAAAGGTGTAAGACAAACACACAGTTTCTTATTACAATCAGATAGGAACCCATATTGGTGATGTGAAATTTGACCTTGGACAAAAGGTCAAGGGTATAAATCTTAGGTGCTTAGCCGTTGGCATAAATTACAGCAAAACACTTCCCCTCCATGTAAAATATCTGTGTTACATGACAGACTAAGGTCTTGTTACATTATGTATCATTTTAAGGCAAAATCAAGGCAAGTTTATCCTCAAGTAGACTCACAGTAAAACACAGAATCAGGTAAACATGCATGCATTGGGCAACTATGTCCCTCTACTGAGGACTCTCTAGCTTCATTTTGTATTAGTAATACTGAATTATTTTGCTTTTTCTAAGCCTCAGCTGCTTGGCTCTGTCTCCAAGCACAGTTATAGAATAAAATGTCTTTGGGTGCAATAAAGGCATTCTATTCTATTCTATTCTATCTGCAATTAGTAGGGGTGCACTAGTGCAGACACCTAAGGGTGATCGATGTCCACTATGAAGGGATTATCCCCCATTATATCCTTCTGTAGCTGCTTTTATCTGGATAAATCAGTCATAGCATCCAAATACATGTAACTTCACATGTGGCTGCCAAATAGCAAAGGTATTTTTTGGGAAACTTTAATGTTTCTTTTAACTGAATGATCAAAACCAAAGAAGAATTTGCAGTTTATGGCGTAATCGGTTGTGACATATGCACTCCTGATTGTAGACAATGCTACAGTATTGATAGTGAATACAACATGATTATAGAGCCACCACTCACAATTTATTAACATATTTATTAGTCAACTTTCAACTCAGGGTGCAAAATATTAACCTGAACTGGATCGTTATGTCACACACAAACACGCCAGCTGACGAGTCTGTGTTGTAATTGAAACCTGGACATGGAACTGACTGTATGCTTTCTGTTTTCTGTTTGTTCTCCCTATAGACATCGACCTGTGTGTGAGAGAGACACTGCCATAGAGCATAGTGTACTGTGAAGTAGCAGTGCAGTGTTGATAAGACTGGGTGGTACAAATCTAACCTGGCTAGTACCGGTTGTGGCTGACATAACCTCACCTCTGCCAGCAACTACATGGGCCTTTGTGGACACGGTCAGCCAATCACAGCAGGAGGAGTTCACTTTTTTTGGGGAGGAGAAAAAAAAACAAGGTCTGTTTGCCTTGTATGTGTGGCAGACAAGAGAGCATTTTATTTCATGTATTTTTCAGTGACCCATTTGTATGAACAGTTTTATCATTATTACTTGTTATTATTTTGTCAGCTGATGTTTTTTCAAGCTTTTACTTAAATGAATTATGAAATGTTGTATTTTCTGTGCATTTAGATGAGAGCTGTGCAAACAAATTGTTTTATTGTTGCATTAAAAAAAATTAATTTTTTAATTTGGAAAAAATACTTTCATATATCATGTATTTTGTGAACAATGTGTCCAAGCTGCATGATGAAATGGTAAATGATGAAATGTTGGAGTGGCCGCTACGTCAGATATAGTGAGTGTATGTCCTGAGTGTGGACTGACAGGCAACACTTCCTTCTTTGTCTGTATATAATTTCCCTTATTCATGAGCGTGGCAGACTTTTAACCTTAAACATGTGTCTAAAAGAGACCAAAAATGTCTTTTAGACTTTAGTATCTCATTTTAAAATAACGCTGTATGTAACTGTGTAACATAGCAAAGTGTGAAAATTAGCCTGGCAGGCAAATTTGAGGTGAAAAACTACAAAAGGTCAACGTCAGGTACGTCTGTTAACGTAACCACTGGAATGGGGGCGGGCTCTTCTCACTTTAACCAATCAGAAAGTAGGCGTCCGTCCGCCGCAGCGTGTCATTGGGTTAAAGTTTGTCCCTGCGCTCCTCATATAAATAATAACAACCCAAATCTGAGCTAGCATGTGGACAGGAAGCCTGTCAGAGAAGTAGCTCGATTTCACAAACAGTTCAAGCAGTCCGGTGACTCAACCACGTTGTTCGCTCACTGTGTAAGCTAACGGAGGACACTCAGGCAGGTACGAGCAGCAGCATGTCGGTCGACAGCGTGTTTAGGACCCGGTCTCTCGGTGTGGCCGCCGAGGGGCTTCCTGACCAGTACGCCGACGGCAAAGCAGCCAAAGTGTGGGAGCTGTACATCGGAGACACGCAGAGCAGGACGCAGGAGTACAAGAGCTGGGTGGTGTCTCTGCTGAAGGAGCACGGGGTGCGGAGAGTGCTGGACGTAGCCTGCGGAACAGGGTAACGTCAGGCCGACTCAGCTGCCTCACACTCGGAGTGGTTTCACTGTTGGCTCACCAGACCTCACTGAAAAATTGTTCAATTTAATCTATATCCACGATTATCAGCAAACTGTACACGCCTCAGCTGAACTTTAACTCAACGTTTACGTTTTCAGAACACAATCTTTTATTCGGCCTCTTTTAATAGCCAAAACACATGTTTTTTAAATAAAATATAGTCTAGTTTTGTCCACGTCCTCACACCTGCCGTAGAGCGGGGTTATGAAACCTGCTGATCAAAACTGGCATCTCATAATCATCTTTTAGGTTTCAGAATGGGTGTGCAGCTGCACAGCAGAGTCTAACTTAGTTTTTTGTGTTTCGTACAAGTTGTGGTGTTTGTTATTAAAAGATTCCAAGTTGCATAAATTAGGTCATTTCACTCTGACCAGATAATTCATGATGTAAACTAATTTCCTACAAACGCCTGTTTTGTTCCCTAATATGTAAGTTTGATTACCTCGTAGATATTCAAGTGTGTTTGACTTTTGTGGAATTTCAACTCGCTGACTCTTTAAACTCCAGACAAAATCTGGATTAGGCCAAAGAATAATGAATGAAAGTGCAGAGTTGCGCCAGCTGCTGTGCCCCTTCCTGCTTCCTGCCCTGATCTGGGCCTGACACACACATGCAGGTTCACACATGCTGGTTAAACGTCATTTTCTGTTGTAACTAAGAAAGCTTACGTGGATAAAGACAAGTGCTTGAAGTAGCTGGTGCTGTATTGCAGCTCCATGTATTTCTCCTTCTTTTTAAGTCTCTCCAAACTGAACATGACTTGTGACTGTGGGACGGAGGGTTCAGTGGTGGATGAGCTGGTGTTAAGTGGTTGTAGTGGGTTTTGACTGGTTTCCTGCAGTGTGTTTGCCTCCCCTGATAGTCTATCTGAGGTCTGGTATAACAGCAAGGCCACTAGCTGAACTCTAAAAACCAGACAGGATGCTCAGACCTGTCTGCCTGGCCCCCTCACTTAGCCCCAATCATTGCTTTTGTCCTACTCAGAAGGTGCAATATCACCATTTATTTCTTTATTTAATGATTTATTAATAAATCCTTTTTTTCTTTGCTGTCATAACCTGAAAGCAATTAGCGCAACCTCTTTCTTTTGGCTGCTTAATCACAAAGAGCTAATCATCTGTAGGTCAACACTGCAGCCATTCACATCTCCAGAGTAAACACTGTAAACTCCATATCTGACGGAGCTCAGGAAACGTGGATATCTCCATGCAGTCAGGAGTAAACCAGCGCACCGACTTTGACCCCATTCCATAGTAACTTTGTGTTTCAGCAGCGCAGCAATCTGAGGCGACGTAAACACGGTGGTCGAGGCATGAGGTTACGAACGGTGCCACTATTTTTGGGAGTCCGAATGTGTTTGTGGTGTCCGGCTTTTTTCCCGGCCATCAAAGTTAGTGGCATCTTATGCAAGAAGCTGCAGGCTGTGGTCTGCAAGTTTGGCTATGATTCTAATGGCTTGCAGAAGAATGACATTGTTTTATTTATTTATTTTGCTTTTCATTTAAGATTTTAGTTGAAGGTGAACCAGAACTATGAAAAAATGCAGCTTTAACTTGCAGCATTAAGTCTATTAATTGCATAAAACAAATACCAGCAGTTGGTACTTGTGTTTGTGTGGACTTTTCTTTGCTGTTGCATATTATCCTGGAATTATCCAGTTGTTGTTAATAATTGCAGTGTGTCACCTTTTGCAAGTCATTGCTCGTTGAGTTGCGCTCCTGTGTTTGGTCGGTGCACTGTTTGAATCAGCTGTATGATTTACCACGGGCCTGTCACCGTATCAGATTTTCACAACATGATTATCGTCACCAAAAAGACTTCAAGGTAGCGCACTATCTATGAAAAAAAAAGGAGAAGGATTAGAAATGGCGTCAATGAAATTAATCTTTAACTTTTTATTGTGTCATTTTGGCAAAGGAATTAGACTTAAATACGAGTGTAAGAAGAATCTGTGGCCATAACTGTTGTTCCTATGGTAACCACACAGTTATAGCTGTTGGATTATTTACAATAATATCATATGTGTATCAAAAACATGATATTCTTCTTTCATTTTTGCCAAGTGCTTCCCCCAAAGAGAATCCAAAGGAAACTTTAGATCAGTTGGATTTCTCTGTACACATTTAAGACCTTCACCTTACAGTGTGAAGTACCTTAAGATGACAAATTTTGTAAATTGGCACCATATGAACCACAGGTATTGTCAATATTGTAAATCGTTACACCTCTAGCTCAAGGCGAGTCCAAGTATATCTCAGCAGTGTCAGTTCAGACTGTGGTTTGGCCTCAGTTCTTGTTATCCTGACAGGTATTCACAGAACAAGGAGCCTCTGGTTATGACATAAATCAATCATGTCTTTGTTATGACTCCTGATGGGTAATACTTTGGTTAAACCACTTCTAGTTTGCTCAATGTAAAGACATTCCTACACAGACTGAGTCCGACTGGTTTGACTTGGAAGGCTGGCTGCAGAGATTGCACATTCATAAAAATACAACGCTCTTCATCATACATAAAGAGAATATATCACAATGGTATTCACCACTGCAGAATAGAAATGCTTGCAGAGCTTGTGAGCTAAGCTGCTGTTTTATGTATTCACACAACATGTGGTTTTTGTTTTGCAGAGTCGACTCTATAATGTTGGTGGAGGAGGGGTTCAATATGGTGAGCGTGGACGCCAGCGACAAAATGCTCAAGTATGCACTGAAGGCAAGATGGGACAGAAGAAAAGAGCCAGCGTTCGACCAGTGGGGTAAGTTTAAGACTCATGGAAGCTCCACACATGTTTGCCTTTAACTGCTCTGAAAGCTGACTGTCTCCTCAGAGGGAAAGTCAGATTTAAATCCTGCAGTGTGTCCTCAGGTGACGGTTTCACATCCCCCTGTTTGGTCATTCTTCTCTTTGTTATCCTCAGTGATTGAAGAGGCCAACTGGCTGACGTTAGCAGAAGACATTAAGAAACCAGGACCTGGCTTTGATGCTGTCATCTGCCTCGGCAACTCATTCGCCCATTTACCAGACTTTAAAGGTACGTGAGGAGCAGAGGGGTGGCCTGTCAAAGTACTTGTTGAGTTTGATCAGAAAGATTACAGGCTGTCACTCTACATGATGGACAGGGTTGGTGAAGATGAATGTTTTGACAAGTGCAAGCATTCTACAGTAACTTAATACCAGGTAGAAGAGCAGCGTTTCACTGCTCTGTGTGGCTGCAGCTCTGAACACCCAGCAGTGATGTAACCGCACTGACTAGGATTAGGCACCAACATGGAACCAGTTCAAAAATTCAAATTCCAAAGGTATTTATTAACAACAGTTAATTTCTAATCTTCTTATGAGTTGCTAAACTAACTTGTGCCAGCTACACTGCTGTATATCTGTTCACCTCCACTGTTATAATGCCAGTCGACTACATGTGCGTCTCTCGTCTCCTGATCCATTTGTCTTGATAAATCCTGAGTCCTGCATTATTCTCCGTTAACCTCCTCAGGTACTGAGTTGCTTGATCAGTGGGTGACCAGAAACTACATTTAATTGTTTTGGAACAATCACCTTATTTTTTCAAATGCTGCTTTTAAACAATTTACATAAACAGGAATAGACTCCACTGTCATGACTAAATAGAAGCTGAAGTAAACCTAGAAATATTTTTAAAAAATAAAATTACAGTTACGTTATCTAACTCTGTGTTGCTGCTGCTAACATTTATCCTCGGTTTTACACCGCACACAGACTGTCAGTAACTAATCTGCTCATCTATGTGTGATAGAGCGTACTATAAAGAAACGTTACTACACTCATAGAAAAACTTTGCTGTGAGTGCAACATATTTGTAAATTTCTCACACAAACCCACGTTGGCCCATGTCTACGTCACCACCTTTCTACCTCACTGATTAAAAAACATGCTAACTATATAAACTTATGTAATTATTACAGTTGTCCTCCAATGTATTCATACCCTTCCATTAAAGAAAAGGCAAAATTCCTAATAGTCACTAAAATAACTAGAAAATGAAAAAAGTAATAATAAATAAAAATTTGCTAAATTAGAATTTATCGAAATAAGACATTGCTTTTGTATTGTGGTTGAAAAGAATAACTTCTAAAAAAAAAAAAAAGAAACACAACTGTCCTGGACAAATTAGAGCACTTTGCTGATGAGCAGTGGGCCAAAATCCAAATAGCTGTCAACAGGTGCAGAAGTCTGATTGAGAGTTACAGAAAACACTTGATTGCAGTCATTGGCTCAAAGGGTTGTTCAACTAAATATTAGTTTATGGGTCCTATCATGTTTGTTTTGTTTTTTTGTTGTTGTTGTTTTTTTAATATTTCTGTTGAACCACAATTCAAAAGCAATGTCATGATTTTCATTATTTTTTTATTTATTATTACTTTTGTCAATTTCAACTTATTTCAGTGACAGCTGTTTTTTCCTTCTTTAATAGGAGGGTATGAATACATTTGAGGACGACTGTGTTTGTTTCCCTTGATGGACAAAGATGGACAGTCGTGGAGAAGGGAATCACTTTAGTTAAACTACTAATACCACATTGTAGAATTACTACATTGATTATACCACTTAGAGTAAAAGTATTTGAGTATAATCAGTACAATTATTATTAAAAATAAAATGCAGAAAAATTCCTGCTGTGACTGTCATGCGATAATGTGAAAGCAGTTGAGCTCGGGTAACCTTAACACACCTGTAAATCAAACAGTCAGAATCACAGTCCAAATAAAACCCGGCCCTGGACCTGGCGCACCCTGCTGCAGGGTGAGAAGGTGCATGGCAGGTCCTGACAGGGTCTGACTAGATTTGGTTTACAGGTCCGTGCAATGCACTTCAGACCAGTGGAAACCTTTTAATTTTTACTATTTGACCAGTCTTAATTATTTCTATTACCAATGCTGCACTCTTGTAAAAAGTATAGAAACGTATTGTGGCAAAAATACCCAGATGCTAAACTACATCCAGTTGGATTTTGCACTAAACAAACCAGCATGCTTTTCTGACCCACAATCCTCTGCAGTGTTATGCTACATATGTCACTGTGTCTTGAGTGAGTCTAAACAAATGTGAACTGCTGAGAGCACAGACAGATGACAGCTCGTTTCACACGACAGACTGTGATGGTCAAAGATTAAGGCACAATATTGTGACCCAATAGTGTGTCTCAGTTGAATGCATACTGAATAAAACATTACATACTTAAAAGAAGAACACATGCGGTTTGGATCGCAGCGTATTTTAGACCAAACAGAATGCTGGGTGTTTCTACCCAGCGTCCAGCTACTAACAACAACCAGCAGCTATCAGTTTTAATGACACACCTTAAACGAAGAGCATTCTGTTGATTGTACACAATGATGATGTTGCTCTCAGGGGACCAGAGTGACCAGAAGTTGGCCCTCCAGAACATTGCCAGTATGGTCCGACGAGGTGGGATCCTCATCATTGACCACCGTAACTACGACTACATCCTGGAGACCGGCAAGGCGCCGCAGGGCAAAAACATCTATTACAAGGTACAGTAGCTCAAGTAAGACTGTATTAACTGTAGTTATATATAAGCAAGTTAAGTTTATTTATATAGCACCTTTGACAGATACGAAATCACAAAGTAGTTTACAAGAATAATAAAATAAGGATAAAAACAATAAAGGTAATAAATTGTTAAAACGGGAGCAACAGCTAGAATACAGTGCATCAAAAACAATAAATAAATAAAATAAAATAAAATAAAGCAGCTCAGGTCAACCGAAAGCCTGTCCATATATTTTCAGATGCCAATATATTATATACTGTATATTAATCATTCTTTAAATGCCCCTCCTAATTGGTTCATTAAGTTCAAAATGTAAAAAGTTGTGTTTTTGAGATTGTCATTAGTATTCTCCAGGTTTAAGGTGGAACTGCTCAGTCATGGTGTCGACTGATTTATATAATTATTTTTCAAACTGTGACTCAGACACACAGTGATCAGGGCGGTTTAGAGCCGGAAAAGAAACTTGTCAGTGGTCTCTGGTGGAGAAACTGTCTTCAAATAACAATAATCCGTCTGTGTTTGGCATTTCTCTAATTTCTTACTTACTGGCCAGCTGCACTCTGACAGAAATTCACCCGTCCACCTCTACAAGGTTCTAATCAGTTAGGAAAAGCTTTTCTCAGATGCTGAAGCTTTTTGTATTGATGCTCATTTTAACAGCCATCAAACCTCATATCTAACAGGATCGTGTATAATGTGAGCTGACTGCTCGTGATCAGTCTGCTCACTGTCACTGATTTGTATATTTCTACATTTCTAGATGCATACATGAACCTTTTGATCATAATTGCGGTTTTCCGTTATGGATTCTCGTCCTGTGGGGCTGCAACAGTCGGTGTATTTGTCCCAGACCATCCAGTACAGGAGGTACTGTTTGGTATGAGACTTCCTCGCGTCAGTACACCCTGTGATCTAAACAATTAGAGTCTGAGATTCTCGAGTTGCACCGGGAACATTTTGGCAGCACATCAGCTGTTGTTTGCACTAACGTTCAGGTTTTAATCGGCCCTCCATCCACAGACCACCATGTGGAGCTGAATATAAGCACAGAGCTCCATTTGTCCAATAAAGTTTATTCAGATCCTCATAGTTGGCACAAAAAGAGAAAAAACTTTGTGCTGCTGTAAAGCTGGAATTGCACGGCAGGTTTAGTTTTTTAACATGTCGCACTCGTGGTAATGGACATTTTGATTTGATTTATGTAACAATTGAGAGTAAAAAGGACAGAATCTTACAATAACACTGACATCTGTGTTGTTTTTTTGTGTTTTCATGCTTTAACTGTGACAGCGAGGACGACTAGAGTGTTTCAAAATAAAAGCCTGAAGTGCTGTTTTGTGCGTGTCTTTTGTTTACTCCGCTGTAACCCTAAATCTGAGGTTCATGCTACATTGTGAATGCAGTGTGTGATGTAGTGCAGTCTGGGGGAAATGCCAAGAATCTGTTGGTGCAGCATTGCCAAAAAAATGTACTCATTTAAGTGCTTTTCTAAACCTTTGTCACGATGTCGTCGCCCTGCTTTTGCTTTCTAACTTTAACAGCCTATAGAACGATAAGTTTTGGAATGATTCCCCAAGAAAAGTGGAACCGGTTGTCAGCTTTAAGAGACTATTCATAGACATCAAAGGAAGAAAAAAAACATCAGCCTGAGTGGCACAAAAAAATAAAAAAGCTTCTTTTTAATCTTAACTTTCTGCACAATCTGGGGCAGACAGTATTGTTTATGATGGTTTATTTACGCCATCCCAAGCAGCAGCTGACTTTAAGACCTAAATCTCCGCGCAGAGCCTGCCGGATATTGTGAGATTTTCACTGAAACCGGCGCAGGAGAAACAGAAGGAAATGTGCATGAAATTGTCGGGTTTTCAGACGGTTTTGGCAAAGAGGGAGAAAAACAAATGAAGTTAGGAATACTGAGTAAAAAGCCCTCTGGGAAGATGGAAAAAAAGGACGACTACAAAAACATGTAGCTTCAGCTGTGTATGTAAAACCAGGATGTATGAATTTCTGTAAACATCTTCCTTTATACCTACATTTTTTCTGTTAAATAGAAGTTTTGGGTTCAGACAGCTCATGTTTAAATAAACAGCCAGTCTTGCATTTTACTATCTGGGCCTGGAAAAAGCTCAAATATATGAAAGATAGTGGAGACGCAACAGCAGGTGCCAAGCGCTGTGAGCCATATTTGATTTGAAGTTATTTTCTTCAAAAACAAGTTCCATATTCTTTAATCCAGCCAAAATAGGAACTATCCATCTGGAAGGCCTAAATATAAATGCAAAGTCAACAGTCGTGTGTTGGAGAGAATCCACTTCTGATGCCTCTGTAATCCCAGAGTCTGCTCTCATGGTCCAACTTTGGTCCCCCCCATCACAACGAGACCAACTTCCTGGGTTTGTTCGCTCACTTCTGATCTAAAAGGCTTCAATTGGACATTACTGAAGATGAATAAATGTGTGTGTGTGTGTGTTGCAGAGCGACCTAACTCAGGACATCTCCACCTCGGTGCTGTGGGTCAACAGTAAGCCTCATATGATCACTCTGGACTACACCATCCACGTGCCGCAGGCCGCCTTGCAGAATCTTCCTGAAGTCAGGTAGGGGGGGGATGTTTAATCCTCTTTTGTAGAGTTTGAGCCAGACTTGAAGCAAACAGTGTTACTGCTGTGGTTTAGAGCAGTGGTTCTCAAACCTTTTGGGCCACGACCCCCAACATGACATCAGTTTGTGTTCGTGACCCCCCCAATTTGAATTATTAATATGGCGTGAGTAATAACTACGTTGTGGATGCATTAATGCCTTAAAAATTAATTTGTTGATTCCACAGATTCAGATATTTTTCATTAATACAGTCATTTTCTTTTGAATGAATGAATGAATGAATTTATTTCGAACAAATGAAAGGGAAAAAAATATAAAAACAAAAGAAAATAATTTTAAAAAAGAGCACAAAAGAATAATATCATCGCATAATCAAATCCTAATATTAACAAGTCCAAAAAAGGAGTGGGAGGAAGTATACACTTTTAATTCTGACAGCCTTAATACACATTTATTTGATAAATCTAGGCCTTTTTTTATTTTATTTTTTTTACAATGATCTGGCGACCACCTGAAATTATCTTGGGACTCCCATGGGGACTCCCAGTTTGAGAACCACTGGTTTAGAGGAAAATCAACATTAGCCAAGAGTTTTTAACTGGTCAGTTTCTGCCACATGCCTCGGTCCACGTAGCTGTAATGAATTATTTGATATATTAAGATTTAGAGTCATTTGCATCTGGGAAGTGCTCAGAAAAATCTGAAACATTTAAGGCCATATCATCGCTATTTGTTTTTTATTATGTCTTTCATTAGTATGACTGTAAAAAAAAAGTCTTTGAATACATTTGGTGCCTAAACCCATGCATCATGTATCATTAAAGACAATATATTAATTCAAAATCAGCTTTATCTCACCCTGGATCAGCTCTACAAAGCTTTGGGTGTGTTCATGTATCAGTAATGAAAGTGCAGTTAATGTAAGTCAACAGTCAATCTGTTATTTACAGATTTGTTTCACCAAATATCAAACATATACTGACACCTCCATCCTGTACCTTGTTGTATTCTAGAGAGACTGGATTGTTTTACTTTCATTAATAATTGATCCAAATGTTTTATCACTGAAAAACCTCAAGGCAGCAACGTTCAGTCTACAAAATGTCAGGATATTGGGAAAAAAATGCTCAACACTGTTACCTGAAGCTCAAGTGAACACATCCAGGTTTATTGTTTTGTGTGACCAGGGGTGACAAACCAAGATTAGAAACCATGTAAACTTTAAATATTGCACTTGAGAAGCTTCTACGAAAGATGTGGTGCATCGGTGGATTAATACAATGACAGTTAATTTTCACTTAACTGAATAACTGATTGATTAAATGATCACTACATCTGTGGATGACACTGTTCAGTTTCTGGTTGTGTGGTGAAGTATCACAACTGTGAGGGTCATTAGGGGCACAACGGTCGTTTTCCTTGTCGAAGGTTAATCCGGCCAGATCTAAAAGGACCAATCCACTAAAAATATCAAAATAAGATAATTCTTACTTGCTTAAACCTTTACTTGCGTAACATTTTGAATGCACTGTGTAAGTATCATCAGTACTTCTTCCACCACAGTCTCTTGTAACATTCATTCCTCAGCAGCTGAATGTTGATCTGTTGGATTTCACACAGCTGTTAATGCCGCGACTGCAAAGAGGTCCTGTGAGAGCAGAGTTGCAAAACACTAATAACAATTGATGATAATAAATGAGACTGCAGTAAGTGTCTTGTCACAGCTGCAATCAAAGTCTCATGACGTCTTAAAGCCAAACAGTTTCTGTTTTTGTAATGAAATCTGCTAAAACATGCCGTCCTTTTGGAGTGTTGTAAAGATCACATCAGGCTTCATACACGTGACTTCATCAGGATGCAGTGATTGTGCTCATGTCTGAGCCTTCGCACAACCCTTTGAAATCAATCCTTGCAGGCATTCTCTTCACTGAACATTTGTTGATAATGTTCGTCTCACAGTCTGGCCTGTTGTGTTCGCTCCCTGTTAATCCCTTACAGTCAAGGTCGACGGACTTCGTTCCCAGACGCGTTAGACACAATAACAACTGCTGAAAACTTCACAACATCCCTCAACTGGAGAAAAGCAATCATTACATGTGCGCGCTTTGTTTTGTGTTTTCCAGTAAATTCCGTCTGTCCTACTACCCTCACCGCCTGGAGAGCTTCAAAGGGTTGCTGAACGAGGCCTTCCACGGCAAATTGGAGCACAGCGTCTACGGAGATTTCCAGACGTACGTACCGGGCCAGAGCCAGGCCCCCTGCTACTTCATCCACGTCTGTAAGAAGACAGCCTAAGGGAACCGCACAGATCTACCTTGATGCACACCCTCAAGAGAATCGCTCTGTTTAAGTCCCTAAATGCTCTTACAGTCCTCCAGGTTTGGGCAAAATTCTATTTGAATATGTTTTTAAAATGTTTTATCTTAAATTGCCTCCAAAATATAAAGCAGCAGTTTGATTTGTGGTCTTTAATAGACACTAAAATCATCCCTCAGTGGCCCCTGATAATATATGACTATACCCAAAGAGAGAAGCAGTTAAAATAAGATTTTCATTTGTAGAGTTATACATTCTGAAATGCTTTCAATGAAAAAGATGAAAAACAAGCCTCAGTGGCTGAACTGTTGGATGATATTGATCTCTTTGTTCTTAAAGCATACGTTTGTTCTTTGAATAGGTCAAACCTACCAGCATGTACCAAGTGATCATTGGGGTTTTTTTTAAAGATATATTCAAAACGTATCGGACCACTGTTTTGCCCACATCTGGTCATTTCCCTCAAAGTGCTGTGCGCTGCGTTTCCCACCGTTCCTCCTCGCTTTCAGAACTTTTGAACACATTTCAAAAAATGGTGCTGCACATGAGTGATGTTCCTCGTGATGGAAGACCTGCTATCTGTCATGTACAAAGGTATATTCTTGATAATTTTGTTTTGTAAGTTTACCACATGCGTCTTAAAAACACAGATGAAGCTCCTGTGGCCTTGTAGCCGTTATGTTTTATGTGTTTTCAAGCTGAAAGTAGAGCTGATCTCATTCTGGCCTTTCTTTAATTGTTGAAGTCAAACTTTGACGGGCGCAGCAGTTTGCATATTTCACTTCATCAGCCTCACTTTTATGAGGCCTGCCCCCTCTCCCCCTCCCGCACTTCAATTTGTTTAATGAAAATCTTGCACAGGCTGTGATTTAAATAAAACCCAGAGAACAGCTAGCGTAGACTGTGAATCACCCCGACTCCTTCAGAGGCCTGATTAACCTGCTGGACTGAACAAGAAGCACTTACCTGCTCGTCACATCAAGAGTCCTTCACCTTGAAGTGTCCTTGACCAGCTCACTCAACCCCTATCAGCTCCAGAGCTAAGTGACCTCTGACCTCACTGCAGCTCGGGAACAAACAAAGAGATTTTCCAGTAAGGACTCGTCAGAGCTTCTCATAACTGAACTAACTTTGCCTTTACTGTCATAATTGAAGCTTTGTTTCACTGAGTGCTGTTTTCTCTTATTTTGCGGTACAAATACGTTTACTTTTGTCTGAGCCAACAGACAGCCTTTAAATTTAGTTGTGATTACTACTAATGAACCTACATCAGGCCAGAAATGAGCCAACATAGAGTGTGTGAAAATAGAAACTCACCATTTTAGAAAAGAAATCAAAAAGCCAGAGACTCTACACGAGGTTTAGCAAACCAAAAAGTTGCGAGTGGTGTTGAGTAAACACTTAATACCCAGCTCTTCTTAAGAAATGTGTTATCAACCAAAGATGTTTTAAAAGTGTTTTTCTTGGATGAGAATTTTGAAAAGAAGGAGAACCTTGAGTGTTTTACATTTGTGCTGCACGGTGCACACTGTGCACTGTCTCAAATAATTGAGTTTACCCAAATAATGAGAGGAACACGACGGAAGAATAATTTACTTTGCTGTATTATCCGCGTCCAAATACATCTTGCTTTGATGCCAAATTAAAAATGTAGTTTTCACTTGAATGAGAAAGGAGCTCTACCGCAGAGTACTCAAATATTATCACTGTCTCTGCTGTTTGCCTAAACAGGACGGCGTGGCGCATTCAAATGTTGTGCCAGTGCAGCTTGTAGAACAAAACGTACGGTACGAGATGGCTTGTGATTAATTTGAGATCAGTAGGTTCGGAGTGGTAAGAATGACTGAATGTTGGAGTGCGTTTGGAAATGATTTCAGAACAATCATATTATGTTGCCAGTTCTTTTAAGAAAAAGTGTGAAACATTTTATAAAGTTTACTGCAGATATGATTATTGAAATTCTTTTGCATGAAATAAAGATATTTGAAATAAGTCGCC